CTTTCCAAGAATATTACTAATTTTTCATCAGACATTAGTGATTTTATGTAAATATTATCTTACTTCAACGGTCCAACAATTCGGTTACTGACAAAGCTAGCTAGCTTCCCGCCAATTTATATGTACCTCAACATCAAATCAACTCTCTGAACATCAAGGAGACTATGAACTAGGAAGACTATGTTAGGCTATTTGTAATTTAGTGAAATTTCTGCTTATGAAACTTTGTTTCTTATAATTAATCATAATACTTGCTATTGTAAATTATAGTGTTATATGTGTGTATATGTATATTAAAACTTATTTGTGTCAAAACTAAAATGGTGTGAATCAATCTTGTTAGCAAATAGAGTAAATTAAATGAAATATCAGCATATTTCTAAACACTAAATCCAGGGTACGTTTCAATTATTAAAAGTTAAATCATTTAACACTGCTTTGGATTATTTCAAATAATCAATACGTAACATAATAAATTGGGGGCTCGTGTCCGAGATTTGAATTTAGAGACAAAATTAGATCCAAATTTAAAATTAATTGAATTTATATTTATCAGTGCCAACAAGATTTGATCGTGTCAGATTATCAAGATTTCCTTTTTACCTTCCTAAAACAATTGGAAAAATGTAACGAAAAGGAATTGCTCGAAATTGTTAAAGTTCTAGAACTAGAAGCTAAAAGGTCAATGAGAAAAAATGAATTAAAAAGTGTAGTATCGAAATACTAATCTATGATGATTTGTTGCCTGAAGAAGCATTAGGAGAATACTCTAGTGTCCCTACTAGCCAATCGTGTTAAGTCATAAGGATAAATTAGAGATCCAGCTAAAATCAAGCGTGAAGATGCTCATATTGAAGCTGAAAGAGAAAATAACCTCCTCGAGGCTGACCAAACTCAAATTGAAGCTGAGAAAGAAATTAGGCTGAAAGAAATGGAAATTAGACTTAACTGTGATCGACCAAGGCAAAATAACAACTTTGAACTTAATCTATATGTTAAAGTTCCACCATTCAAAGAAAATGAAGTAGATAAATATTTCCAACATTTTGAAAAGGTTGCCTAAACCATGGAATGGCCCACCGAAAAATGGTCAATTATTATTACAAAGTATCTTAACCTGTAAAGCACAAGAAGCTTACCCCGCTCTCTCTTTAGAAGATTGTACAAATTACGATAAGGTTAAAGCAGCTATTTTCAAAGCATAGGAGTTAGCACCGGAGGCTCATTGCCAAAAGTTTTGAGGTTATCGCAAACAAGATAATTAAACTTAAATGGAATTTGACCACGAAAAAGAGGTTTATTTTGAATGATGGTGTAATTCGATGCATATTTACGATAGTTTCAACAAACTAAGACAATTATGCCTAATCGAGGAATTTAAACGTTGTGCACGTGATAACCTCAAAACTTGCTTAGAAGAAAAGAAAGTTGAAACACTATAGGAAGCTGCTACTCTTTTCGATGACTATACTTTAACACATAAAACCACTTTTCAGAAAAAGAAATTCTTACCA